AACAAGTTTTCGAATGCACATTTAATAATATCCTCTCAATTTCAAAAGATGTACACCCCTCTTCATATTCTAAAGCAATGAAAAACGCTTTACAATAAAGTGCTGAAATCAGTGTTCGCCTCCTAAGAGAAAGCAGATTGGCCCACCCCAAATCTTACCGCATCAAGCTTAAATTTGAGGGCTTCATAAATATGAAATAAAAGGTGGAAAGAATTAGATTTTAAACTCCTATAAATCACAACAATTTGGATTTCTTTCACTAAGAGTTAATTTTCAAAAGTGGAGCTACTCTTAAAGGTGAATCAGTTACATTTACGAACCAAAATGATGTAGTATAGAACAGTAAATCTTCTCTGAGGAAATACAGAAAATAAAATGAAAAGCTTTTCACTGTATGTTAAAAATGCATATGTACAGTTACGTGCTTATGATTAACAAAAGGTACAATAAATAGAAGACAGGGTAAATTCTCAAGGTGGTTCCTCCTGGAATAAGATGTTAGCCTTTGGCTACCTAGGAATAAAAGATTCAATCCCCAAATTTGAAAAACAATAATCATGCCGTATGCCCGCTCCCCAGTTCTGCCCCTGAGAGGATGCGAGTTGACCACCTTTCTTTCTGGAGAGGCTCATGAGTGCTTTCAAGTGTGGTGCCGGCATGATGTGATGACAGTTTCCACTGCTAAATTCACAAAGGCATTTCAAAAACATGCCAAGGCACCAAGCGTTTAAAAAAAACTGCTCAGGAGATTTGGTATTCTGGTTATAAACTAGGCTATGCCAGTGTTCATGGAACGACAATGTCAGATTTTAATCTTTCTTTAAAAATGTAAGTTCATTTTATTTAGGGAAAAAAAAAATCGAAGTACAGTTGCTGTTAGGAAGACGAAGGCCTGCATTTCTGTTTCAGCCCAGGGATGGCTACTTCGTAACTAGCTCTCTATTGCCACCTACAGGCGAAGAGTCTCATAACACTGCATTCGGGAGTGCCCTGGTGCAGAGGTCTCTGGCTTTAGAAAGAAGCTTCCCACTATCACAATTATTTGCACACTGATTGGTATGGATTTGTCCAATTAGACTGAAATGCTCTATTTGCATGAGCAAAATGCAAAAGAAGGACTTGAAAGCATTAGGAAAATTATCGGTTACAATAATAAACAGCATTAAATGAGGAAAAATAAATTGGAACTGACATCTGAGTCATCGGTTCTTCATCAAGCTGAGCAAATCTAATAAGGCCCCCCTCCCGTCCCTTAGCTCTCAAGAAGTCCGCCGTTAAAATGTCATCTCTGATTCCATTTTATGTCTTTAAATTGCGTTTTAATAACCTTTTGTTTCCCTTCCTCTGTTCCGTTCTGGTTTTCTTTGGTATGGTTTGAACGCCCCGGCTACTGGGAAAGGTAGTGGAGGGACGACGGCGTCCTTCCGAGGGCAGAATTTTGCAGTTACAAGGACAGCGACGAGTTTCCTTCCACCTCATCACGCCACCTGACCTAAACGTCAGGCACCTTTCCTCCTTCGAGAGGGGCCCTAGGAGCCCAGTGAGCCCCCAGCTGGTAATTGCTCTCCTCGCCAACTCAAGGACCTCAATATAAAGTTATCATTTGTCCTTTCTTTGGTCTTCATAATGGAGGGGGTGGGAAGCAGAGAAGAAAAAAAATGACAACATGAACAAAAAACTTAAGGTTCAGAACCATGAATACATGTGAAACTATGTTCATGTCATAAATTACACCTGTGACGAGAGCCGATTTGTTATGACAGCATGCTCTTTTTCCTCTGTCACTTGGGGAAAGAAAAAGTGTCATGAATTCCTTTTTGAGCAGATAGTGACGTTTTTAACGATGGAAAGAGAATTACCAGTTAAAGACTAATGACTTAACTACTGATTTCCTGAAAAGACAAGCTGATTGATACTACATGCTAAATAGTATATGTATTTTTTAATTTGGAAGGGTGTATACAATTTCCAAAAAAGCAGTCCTATAATAGAGGCAATTCAAAATAAAACATATCATTTGATAGCCTCTGGAGAGAGCATACATGCCCATGGGAAAAAAATTCTGTCTGAATGAAATTTATGCTGAAATCGGTTATTTCCCCCATATCTATCAAATGGAAGTCGTTACAGTATTACATGAATTACAGAAATTTCCATCATGTGTGTGAATTAATAATTACATTCCATTATCAAATTGTCAAATAATCTTTATAGAACCCACCATCTATGAAGGCTATTCCTTCCATCTCTCACTTCTGCTCTGTCTTACAGCAGAAGATCATTCCTTTGAAATTATACTTTAGTTTGAATTGGAATACTATTTAAAGCCAGGGCTCCTTTAGTTTGTGATGGTCCCCTGGGTCTTAGTCTTTTAAGAGTGGGAACATGGTGATGGAGTATATATTGCCTTATCCAGTGCTTATCCAGTGAAAGGTAATTACAAAAGCAGCCAAACTGGCTGGTTTCTAACTTGCAGCCCCACTCTGCACCTGGTGACCTACCCCAGGTTCTTAGGGAGGGTGTGGACATTTATAAAGGAGAGATACACAAATGCATATATTACGGTAGATGATGCATAAGTGCATATATTATGGTAGACGATGCATAAATGCATATATTACAGCAAAAGATGCACAAGTGCATACATTATGTTAGATGATGCATAAATGCATATATTACAGTAGAAGATGCATAAATGCATGCTTTTATTATAGTAGACCAGCTTCTCCTGAAACACCCCCTGAAATTTACAGCAATATTCTCTTTCAGGTTTGAAACACCGATAGCGGTCAACATGTGAATTGTACTTCACAGCCGACAAAGCATTTTTTCAGATATTTCTCCAAAAAGTCAATTATTCCAAGTCTGAGTTGAGTTGATTACTTTTTTCCAAAACTTTGTCGTGGATAAAGAGATTAAAGAAGCACGCAACTAATGCACAACTCAGCATCGCACAGCCCATTTTACTGTCTATAAGTGTATTACCAGTTGGTACAGTTTCCATGGAAACACATTAGTGATGAACTGAGAAACTGATGATAAATTAAATTGCATTCAAGATGGTCCAGTCATGATATTCAGAGGGAAAAAAAACAGTGGACCTTTAATCTTCAGATACTAACTGGGGAGTGGGTTTGTTTTTTTTTTGAGCTCTACTTAGATGAAGTTTTAATAAACTCACATGGATTAGGTTTCAAAATTTATCCAGGTTTGATTAAAGTAGGATTTCCCCTCCAATCCGTGTTGTCTGTCTATTGGAGAATTGCCCTGAAATTCCTGCTCTTGGTCACTAGAAGACTCCCAGAACACTGTGAACAAAGCGTACTGGGCAACCAAGGCAAACTTAACCAAAGACTAATAAAAATAAAAGACCAGGAGAAACAAAACAAACCCCAAGATGACAGAGGTGGAAAAAGCACCTCTAGCAGCTGTGAGCCGTCGGCAAGAGCAGAAAAGCAGTCCTTTCCATGGACAAGCGTGCTGGCAGTCCACTCCACAAGGAAAGGGTGGGACCAAACGTTCTGGAATAGGCTTAAGTCTTAGATGAATGATGAAAACAGAGGGTAGCATGTCTGATTTTGTTAAGAAACATCACGAGACTGTTACTTTCAAAAATTCCTGACTGCATGTTAGCTGATAACAAAGAACACTGACGATCTGTGAAGACATGGACTCTGTACTTCTGCACTGAATTTCCTAAGAGAGAACTAGAGAGCTGGGGGCAGGTGGGGCAAGAAGGACCACTTGCAGTGTTAAATCCCCAGCAGCCCGGAGGGGGCTTGGGGAAGAGAGTGCATTCTTTTTAGTGCTGTCAGGGTCCTCAGGAGCCGGTTACTCAGACTCACGTAACTCCCTGCTGACAGGGTTCAACTCCAAAACAAGAAATGCAAACAGTACGAGAGCGTGCATGCATGCATTTGTGCCACCTGCACATTCTGGCAGCGCCTATTGAATATTCAGTAACCCAGATCTTGGATTGGTTGTACTGTATTTTGGTTGTCACTTATTTATCTTTAGCTTTATGTGGAGTTCTAGCACAACCGAGAAAGAAAAAGAGGAAGAAAAGCAAAACACCCGTAGAAACAGATAAATATTCAGTATTGCTGACGAGCACGACATCTGTTTAGTAGCATAAATATTTCTCAAAATTCGACAGTGTAGTGTCTAAGTTCTCGGTTTAAAGAAGAAAAACAGCTCCAGTGATTTCACATTGACTATGTTAAAATGTTCATACTCTGATAAAAGGAGGAAATTATTAAAAACTCAAGTAATCTGGGACCTGAATATATTTACTCTAGAATATGACACCAGGAAGTATGAGGTTTCATTATTTCTCTGCCCAATTTAATCTTTGCCTAGAGCTGCTATCAAATTGCATGTAGAACATGTCTGCATGTATGAAACAGGGAAAAAAAAAAGCCTTGTGCACCCGCATCAACAAAATGTTCCAAGACTCTCCGCTTTAAAAACACAAATTGCTAAGGAGCAAGAAATCGTGATTTCTCTGCATGCTCACAACAATTCAGCTTCACGAAAAATCTTTCTGGGCAAGCTTCCTGCCACGTCGTGGCTTTCGTCTGAGTCTCGTACAAAGATCGACAGTGTTCCACTCTCTCTCTGCCATGTCCTCTCTCTCGACTTCCCTGCCCTCCCAGGTCCTGGCAAAACGACAGTCTGAACTCTTTTTGCTCAGAGCCCAGAAGTTTGCGTTGGCGGAGTCCGGTGTGGGGGAGGCCTTCTGCTTTCAAAAATAAATCATGAAATTCCTGTATCCTGCAAGACCCCCTGGAGGTGCTGGATAACGATGTGACTCCCAGCGAAACGATCAGCAAAAACGCATCTCGTGCGTAAACCCCCGACCTCCCCGCCGTGCTCTCAGTGGCCGGGCTGCCTAGAGAAATGACCCATTCTGCTGTCTCTGGGTAGGATCTCCTGCGCAATGCCTGTCTCTGAGGTGGGCTGCTTTTAGAAAGTTATAGGTGAGTATTTCAGATGCTTACTGCTATGACAGAGACGCCAGCTGCCGTGCTGTTCGGCTTGGGGCCTGTGTTGAAATGCTTCTTTATCTTTCCTGCTACTGACAGCTGATGTTCATTTTCTGGGAGACCATCATCCTGGAGGAAAAAAAAAGAAATAAAATAGGAGAAAAGGACCAAAAAAAAATGATATAAATGGAAAATGAGGCCAAGATATTCCAGGAAAAGGCAGTGATCTTAAAATTCAGAACATTTCAGGAAGAAACTGACCAACATCTTCTCATTAAACGTTGTTGTTGGAAGTCCTGCTCCAAGGGCGCCTTCATTTCCCCTTGTGCTCTAAAACTAATTTGTGGTGTCATCTCAACCTCAGAGTTTTGTCCCTAAATAAAATATGTTTTTTAAATATCTAATAAAATTGATTTCAGCTCTAGAGACATACGTCAAAGAGCAAGTTAATCTGGACAACTACCCCCCCTCCAAAATCAATATAAACATTTTTTTTTCCCTAACCCAAGCGTTTTATCCTCTTAAGCCCATCATTCAGATCCAAAGCCAAGGAAACTGACAGATCTGGGCTCACGTAGGAGCCGGTAAATAAACTCGGGCTGGCTCTACAGCTACTCAATCTGTCACTCTATAATCCCAGACAAGCTTCCACATAGAAAGGTCTCCCTTAAGCTTCTTGTTTTGGGAATTGAACCCAAGACCTCATGCACACTAAGCATGCACACCACCACTGAGCTATTACCCTCCCCTCTTCCCTTAAATTTAAGTCTTCCTTGTGGCCTTCAAATCATCTCTTTTTATGACATACTTGGCATTGCAGCTCATTTTCATTAAGGCATCTGTTCTCCACTGGAGCCATCTATGATGGAGGCTGGAGGAGATTTCGCTCCTTCGCTAAACACTGTTAGAATAACCATAACCAGAGTCCAAAGCAGGTGCCACCACTTACTAGTGTGCAATGAAGAGACTGAGCGATCCTTGAAGACAGACTGTCCGCTATAGAACCCCCACGTCTTAGCATGTACCTTGGCACACAGTAGATGCTTAGTAAATATTTGTGGGATGAATGGATAATCAAGTGTTTGTTACTGTCTGTTTAACCCAAAATTCCTGACAAGAGTTCAATGCCATCTGTCATTTTCCTTCTCTCCTTCCTCCCCATCATTTTGCACGGAATTTCTTGGCTCCCCCCAGGAAAACAGAGGTGCTGCTTTCCAAGTGCCGCATGCTGGCTCTTTTACATAACCTGGTCTCTCCACCTGGGATTCACTCCTTTTTTCAGCCTCGGGCTACTCATTTCTGCAGCCTGTGTTAACTGCACATCTGCCGTGGCCTAGGCACTACAGTAAGTGACGAGGAAGTAACAGTGACCAAAAACAGGCACGGGCTTCCCTCTTCTGACCCCTGTGGTCTCTCTTTTTCTTCATAGCTTGGGTCCAAATCACCTGTTCCCATTTCCCTGCTATTAAGCATAATCTGTTATAATGGTTCCTTTATAAACGCCTAATGCTTTTTCGTTACATATTTTTGCACTATTTATATTCTTTTTGGTGTTGGATGATTTTGCATATATGTTATATATATAAATGTATATATGCGTATACATCTCAACTCCTGCCCTTTTGTACCACATCTCCCACGTGTCTGCAATCTTTAATATAAACACTTGGTTCAGTGCCCTGCGCACAGTGGATGCTCAGTTGACGATATTCTTGGGCTGGTTTATTAATGGCTAGAAGAGGGAACAATTACTATGCCACTAACTCACATCTGAAACCAAATCTAGAGGATGGAGGCTTTCCAATGATGCAGAGTGAACTGAAAATTTTCTTTTAAATTCTGTATTGAGAGAAATAAAATGAAGGTCTGTTAGGGTAACATGGGATGATACCTGGGGAGAGAATGGAAACAGCGTTGTCTGAAGTGCCTACAACGTGCAGGACTACGTCGGGGAGGGCAGAGTGGGGAGAGGAAATGATCGCTGTCCACCAGACCCTTGCAGGCTAACTGGCGGACAAGGTAGGCACACACCAGGTCAACTGACAAAACAGGCCAAGAAGGTAAGAAAGAGCCATCGCCAGGCAGTGGGCTGCGTGGCTCAGCTAGAAACACCGAAGGAGTTCAGAAGAGAGGACATATTTTCAGTGAGTGTGGACGTCACGAGGGATAAGGGATTCCACCTGGTCCTCCTGGATGGGAACAGACGGACAGGTAGAGAGGAGGACAGGCGATGTTTCAGTGCATGGATGTGTGCCAGTGGGAAGCCACGAGGCATGTTTGCCAACAATGGGTCAACTACTGGGAGAGCGATGGAAGAAAAAGCTGGAAAACAGGGAAAGACAGGCCACAGTGGAGTCCCCCGAAGATCTGGAGATTGAAGCCTTACTCTGTTAGGAATAAAGCAATGCTTTCTAATAAGAGGGTGTAAGTGCAGGAAGTGTAGGGGACCACTCTCCTCCCTTCATCCAGGTCCCAACGATACAAGCGGAAGAGAAGTGTGATGAGAATCAGAGAATTAGGGTTAGACAGGCTAGAGTTTTCAACACAAGGGCGAATTCAGTGGTGTGTGCACGACTTGTGAATGAAACAGCAGCCCTTGGAATCTATGCTAGAACCTGGGGAGGATTTAAACACTGGGCAAGGGATGGAATGATGTGGCTTTAATGAAGGTATCACAATTTGGGGTTCTGCTGGAAGGAAAGGGGGCAGCCTGATACAGTGGTGCCCCACTGGGCCTCACGCCCCAAAGTACACATGCACTTCTAGTCATCTCTTAATAGAGTTCTGTTATTAAGGCTACCTAAGGCAAAAAGATCTGTATGAGCTTCAGGTTATAAAATAGGAGAGAAAGGGTGAGGACGGGAGCAAAGCTGAAAGAGAAAGGTGGGAAGGGAGGAAGGTGCCCAAGATTTAACCATTATGCGGCCTGGTGCTAATGTCCTACATCTTCTTCATCCTCAGATCATCTTCTACAATATGCGTTGTTAGTCCCATTCTGAACATGAGCGAACTGAGGTTCTACAAAGTTACATAATTTGCTCTAGGTCACAGGGCTAGAAGGTGGCTGAGTCAGGCCTGCACCAGGTTGGAACTCTGTGGTCCGCCCACCACACCACGTTGCACTGTCAAGGGCACTGAAGGGCACTGAGGGCAGGGCGTTGGCTACAAAAAGAGGTCCAGGAGTGCTCAGTGTAATGACTCAGGGAGTTATCTTTTCCATGATGAAAGGAACACAATGGTCAGGAGGAAGGAGGACTGAACTAGGGGCTGAAAAAAACCAAGAGACTATTTGGACAAGCCCTGATGGAGCCAAGGAAGCATTTGGATGGAGGTCATTCAAAGGGATGCTGAGCACCTCCTAGGGTCCAGAGGGATGTAGTGAGAAATTAGAAGCTTCTATGCCCCGGAAAGACTGGGCAGCCACTCATCTGGGATGTCAGAATGTGCCGTGTTAGGGCCAGGACTCTCGCATCCTGCGTGGAGCAGCAGGCAGTGCTGGACGGCTGGGCTGATCCTGGGTGCCGCCGGGAAGGCGCTCTGGGTTGTGGGGTGGGCTCTGATTGGTGGGTCCAGATGCAGAGAAAACAAATAGGGATTCCATACGGGCGGCCTCTCCTTCACTTCCTGAGGGAGATTCATCCCCTGCTGCCCAATCGCTTCTCTTTCTCACTTCCCCACAACTGCCATTTTGGCCAGAAATTTCCCTTCACCTGGCTTTTTTCTGCCTGCCAGTTTTCCAGCTTCTCACCACCCTCACAATGGACTCTGTTACATTTCCCAGCTCTGTCCTGGTCCTAATCTCCTGTCAAGACTCCTAGCAACTCTTTCAAACGTTGGGGCCTGGGGGTTCAGGCCTACAGCTTTAAATTCGAGTGAAGGTTTCAGCTTCCCTTGGGTTATTAGTTCACGCTGAAGCAATGAAAGTAGTGAAACAAGTTGTCAGAGAGGCTTCTGACTTCATAAATCTTAAAACATTTCAGGATTTTTTTCCCCCAATGAAATAGGGTGTCTCAGCTAGAGAAGGTAAAACACACGCACACCCGAGTGCGCGCACACACACACACACACACACCAGCAACTAAAATGTCTGCAGAATCTCTCTATCAGTTTTGAAGGCTCTGAGCATAATTGGATTAAAAGACATGGCTTTACAGAGACCTAATCTGTACCTAAGGCCTACAGAATGGCGGTGGAGATTTAGCTAACTTACTGTCTTGCATCAATAAAATAAATAGGGCCATGAAAAACACACATTTTTATATATACATCTTCATCGCCATTATTCTGAATAGACTATGTGCCAAAAATGTGCTATGAATTTTCTAAACGTGACAAATCTGGCAGAACGTTACACACAGTTACAGTATTATTACCATACGTTCTGGTATGTAGGCTCTGGGAGTAGTTTCTGAAGTCTGACACGGGCTGGTTGTAGTTTGAGGTTCGTGGGTTTTGATTTAGAAATTCCCATCCACCACTTGGCAGAGTATTGCAACCGACAAGAACAAAATTAGTTTGCAAAATGGAAAATGAACTCTCCCAGCTGTCTGTAGGAGACTCAGCCTCCTGGTCTCCATTCCTCTAGCGGATAGTCGGGGAGGAGCTGCGGGGAGGGGTATGAAGCTGGGACGTGAGGTCACTCAGTAGAGTGAATTCCTCTCTTTCCTTGGGGAAACCACTCCAGGGGTCATGCTTTTAGAAAATCCTCCTTCCTTCATGGAGTTTTGTTTTTGAATCATGGATCTGGATTTCAGTCTATGCATTACCAGACTCTAGTGTTAATACTATCTGTAAATTTATGAGAAGCATGGCAGCCTTGAGCAGTTCCCTACCAGAATATTCTGATTTCGTTTAAAACGATTTGAACAATCCCAAGAACATTAGAAGGCTCTTCACCAGCAGTTCCATCCCACAACCCAGTGCGTGGCCCCTCGCCTCCAGTTAACCATCCCCAGCTGTACGACATCCCAGGATTTCTGACTCCCTTAGCTTGGCCCTGTGTATCCCCCACGCCTACAATTCACACTGCACTCGGGGAGAACATGTGAAGCAAATTAACGTCTCCCTTGGAGAATGGACAGGATAAGATGCCCAAACGGAGAGTGGAATTCCACGTCATCATTTACAATTTACGAACCCAGATAAGTAGTTTCATTTATCATTACAGTAGCATTGCGGGGTGCTCTTAATTGCTCACAACTATTAGACGGATGCTTATATATTTTTGTATGGGTAGCACTGATTTTTAAGAGCATGGAATAAAAAATATTATCCAGGCTCTTGCTTTTCCTTCTTCATCTTGTTCTTTTTTTTCCTTTTTGAGTATCTTGGCTTAGTAGTATCTTTTCGAAAGAGTGGGTAAGTGAGAAAAAGGAAGTAAAATCGAATTTAAAGGCCAAGAAGGTGACAGGTAGTCGTGAATCGACTAAACACCTACACTTGACTTATTTAAACCCATCCTTTCCGCTAGGACAGAGGATCTCAGTCTTGGTCTCACATTATAATCACTGAGGAGCTTCTGATGCCAATGCAGATCAGTATCAGAATCGGGGGGGGGGGCGGACCTAGGCGTTAGAGACTTTTCTGAGCCTCAGTTTCCTCATCAGGAAAATAATTAAAGGTAAAACACAGATCCATAGAACTACAGCAATGAGACGGAACTTTATCCTACGGTATGAGGGAAATAACATGGGATAAGGTAGGTCAACACTTTGAAAATAAAATCCAGCAATAGTAATATATTGGAGATACTGACAATTTAATCCTAATTACGAAAAAGAAAAAATTTTGGAAATGTCATTTAGGCCTCTGAACTTAATCACTAACCTATGTTTTCTACCAACAAGGTGTCCAGTTGGGAAGACAGTGACAACCTTCTCCATAACCCCTGGAATGATCCAGACATATTATGGTCTGTTCCATTCTTATAGATTATGTGCCTGAATCATATGGTTCCCCACTAGATGAGAAATAGGGTAAATAAACTTGGCTAGGGCAATTCCTGTCGGTATTTTCTAGCTGCATTAAGGAAATAGCTGCTATGTTGGAGACCACCACAAGCTGACCACATTATCTACATGGAGTCTGGAGCACACAAACAGGGTCATTTTTTTGGATGAAGGGGTTTCCGCCTTAATCAAGTATCAATTTGTACTTTATCAGCACGTAGCAACGGATGATAGAGCCTTGCTCAGACTCACACTGGCCAAATATTTATCAAGTACTTGTGGAGTTTCAGCAATTAAGATTCTCTCACTCACACTCCTCAAATATAAAATCCTCTCGCCATCCTCATAACCTGAGAGGCTGATTCTACTGTGTCCATTTCACAGACAGGTTCAATGAGGTGAAGTGATTGTCTCGAGGTGACACAGGCAGGTGAGCTGGTGCTGCTTCCGGGAGTCTCCATCCCTCTCCGCACACCTGGCTGCACACTGATGCAGCCTATGTCTACCTGGCTCATTGGGAGCATCCAATGAGAGGCCTCGCTCGTGGCTCTTCCAGTAACAGAGCAGAGGTCCAAGACACCACGGAGGATGGTGGGATTTGCACCCAGAGTATATTAAAAAAAAAAAAAAGGAAAGAAATGGGAGCGTAGAGGAAACACCTGGAGGAAGGTTAAAACAAGTGACTTTGCTGACTAGATTTTTCGATTCTGCTGCCCTCACGCTCTGCCCTCTGTTTCATAAGAGACTGCCTTTTCAATTCCAAGTGCACCAAGAGAAAAGGGCACCGTATAAGCAATAGAGAAAATTAGGACAAATGGGAGTGCGAGAAGGGCTCTCTGACGACTTCCTTAGGGCTCATGCAAATATTATTAGTTTTTCACCCCTTAGGTAGTGTCCTCTGCAGTGATCAGCTATAATTTGATCTCCAAATGCAAAATGTCTTGTTAACTGGGCTTCCTTTTAAATTCCTAATTTATTGGCTTTGATTGCTTGGTTGTTCATTTGTTGCACTCGGAGACCTCGACAAATACTAAATGCCGGCTGGGAAAGCTTAGAGACATTTTTTTTTCATTTATTAGAGACAAAGAAAATAAAAAGTTTTCTGATTTAGTTACTACATAATTTCAAAAGTTAAACAATCACTTTTATATGTTAAGTTTTTTAAAGTTTTTTTTTTTTGCTAAAATCAGTGTCTTTTTTTTCCCTTAGAATCTAAGGTATGTTAGAGTTATATTAAAGGGTATTTAAAAATTTTAAATCTCTTAGATAATGCCCTAAACGTTATCCTTGCTTTTAGGAAACATTTTTAGGGACTCTCAGGGGAAAAACTAAAATGACAGCAGAAGTCCAAGGCCCAGAGGGAGCCTCGGCTAAGTGAGACCATGTGTTAACAAGTGTACAAAGCTGGTTGAGAAGGAAGAACGTTACCATTGAGACATGTATACGCTGCCCTAAGAAAACGAACAGCCTAGTTATTCAAAGGGAACAGCCAGAAGTCTTCCTAACTTTGTTTCTCTGTCCGACTGAGCTGGGAGTTACCTTCCATCAAGTATCCATGCCCTGCCTGAGCTGCTGCTGCACATGTCAATAGGGGTTACGACAGTCCCCAGTTATAGTTCTGTTACTACATAGACACAATCAGTTCATGTACGTGAGGCGGTTACAGCAGTCCGGGGCGGACACTGTAAGTTAACCACTCTGTAAGTATTTTATTATTATTATTATTATTATTATTATTATTATTATTATTATTATTATTATTATTATTATAAACAAACCTTATCAGCTATAGAGACACAGATGTAGGGTCAAAAATAATGACCTCTCAGGAGAATTCTTTCATGGCTAAAGAAATGTCCTTGGAGCCTTGCACTCCGACAGCAGCAGCAGTGTCTGGGAGCGTTCAGAAACGCAGCCCCTCACGTCTGCTGCGTTACCGACCTGCATTTGAGTAAGATCCCCAGGCGACGCGTGAGCTGTTCAGGTTTGAGAAGTGCTGCACGGGGGAACTCCCAGGCTTATTCAGAGGCCCCTGGACCTGTATGCTTGGTAGAAATGGTGCAAAAGCAGCATGGACTCAGAAAACTTACTCTGTCTCATTGATGTATTTGGCCCTAACCTGGACCACGGAATGGAGGTTGTGGGGGTAGGGGGTGGTGACCATGTGCACCTCCCCAGTAGGAGGCAGTCCCATTGGAATCAAATGAAATGCTTTGTGCAAGGGACCATGAGAACACATGTCAGCACAGATACATCAGAGGCTCCCGCGGAATGAGTCTGAAATCCCAGAACTGTTCTGGCATGTTTGAGGGGGAGGAACAGACATAAGCACAACACTTTAAAAAGGAGGGGACATCATTAAGAAAGCTGCAGTTTTAACAAGGAATGTTGGGAGTAAACACCAGGAAGGGAGGAAGTCACTTACATTAACCCAGGGATGTTCAAGGACCTGCACAGCTGAAAATCGCTGATCAACATCCACCAACAGCATCATGGTAATGAGCTCCTGTGAAAGGAAACATGCGATGCCATTTGCGTCTAACATTTAAGGTAAAAATCAGGGTGTTTTCAGGCACAGAAGCTCTCTTAGTTTGGAAAAGCATTTGCCAAAGCTCTAAATCTTAACTGTATCAACTCAGCTTACCTATAGCTACCTAACACCTTTTAAAGGAAAGGTGAATATTTGGAATTATAAATATATAGCTTGTCATTGAAAGAAAAAATAAAAAATCAAATTAATAAAATCAAATTAATAAAAATATTTTAATAGAAAATAAAGTACACAGTTAAAGAATTAATATTCCTTTCTTTGTCTAGAATTTTGCACTTTACAGATTTCTGAATTACTTTAATATAGAAATCACATTTTAAAAACACTTTAAGTTTTCACTTTAGCATCTGAAAGCAGAAATGAATTTTTTTTTCCCTTCTAACTGCAAGATTTGAAAGAAAGGAACGAAGAAAGACATATAGAATTGTCAACAGCTAGTTGGTAATAGAAATAATTCTTTAGTAGCCAAAAAGTTCAAAGGAAATCTGTTAAAAATGCATTCAAAAATGTCCAGCTCAATCAATAAAAATAAAATAGCATCATTAAGCAGCAAATGATTTAATGATTCTGAAATTAATGAAACTTCTCTATAAGCTCAAATTTATTTGCACCAGGAAAGCACAGCTTGAGTTTTAATGATGAGTGTGTCATACATTTGTCTACTTTGAATTAGAAGTTTCCATGTAAGAAAAGGGTTAGATATGTGTTACCTGCCCCCTTCCATGCACAGGCTCTGAGTACCGCTCCGTGATAGTAATGATTGGTTTCCAATGATGCAGAGATTCTACCTCCACTTTCTCACTTGGTCCAGGATTTAATTAAAGCAACTGTCATGTGTGATGCCCTCTGCAGGGTGCCATGGGGGTGAAGGAACAGTCCTATCTGTTACTGACTTGGAGCTCTCCCATTATGCAGTGATAGCGCTGAGATCTGGACAGAGTCCTGAAGAGCCTGGTGAGAACCCCACCCCTGCAGCTGTGTCACCCTCTCCTTTCACCTGTGTGGCTTTTCTTGGCTACTTCTCTCAATTTCCCACATTCTCCTATGTCCAGAGGTTGATTCCTGGACAGTTGGAAAAAATGAGAGATTTGGTCCCAATAGGCATCATTTTCTATGGAAAGTGGCCAGGCCTAAGGAGTCAGCTTTTAAATTGAACCCATACTCAGGACATTGCGAGTTAGACAGTGTACCAGATGGATGTAAGAGTGTATGTGTTATGGAGAAAAAGCAAAGGGTGATAAGTGAGCTAGGTAGGGTTACGAGCTGCAGTTGGAGGGAGACACGGTGGTCTGGGAAAGCTTCACTGTGAAGAGGACGTTAAGTCAAGACCTGAAAGAGGTGAAACAGTCAGCTATATAGAAAGCGGGGGTGGGCTCAAGCCTGGTGTGGGCAGGGCACAGCAAGAGGCTTCAGCAGGGGAGCTGGAGTGGCAACAGGGAGGGATGGAACCAGGGGACACAGACACTTGATAAGTTTGGACGGCTATGAACAGACGATGACTGTGACCTCTAGGAAAATCTAGTAATTAGGACTAAAATGCAAGCAGAAATCATATTTAAGATACCATTCATTTCTCTCCACACAATGATTCGCAGTCAATAATTCCATTAAGAGACACAGACTATGAGGAAGAGGAAGGCACTGGAAACCTACCTTTGCAGAATCGGAAACATTATCCCAGTAAGGAGAAGGGAAGTCCACTTGCCCCATCAAAATCTGATCAAAGAGCACCTCCTGGTCATCGCCGCTTCTGTTGAGATGAAGGACCACAACAAGGAATAAACAGCACGGCACGGAAATGTCAGCTCGGGGTGTGTCTTTTCATTCTTATGCATCGGAGCCCTTCCTTTCCCCATAAATGTGTAAAATGTGTTTTTAAGCAATTCAAAATGTCAGCATGGAACTGTTTTGGCAAATTAAGAAAAAAATGAGTTTTTAAATTATATGGGGAAGATTTATGGAAGGCATGTGAATAAGCATGCACAACATGGAAAAAATCACAGGCACTGCAAGTAAAGTTCTATTATGATCTTTTTCTGCTGTAGGCTCCTTTGGGCAAGCAGGCCGAATGGATCACTCAGAGGATGGAGAAATGTTTTGTTGCCGCCCGTACCCGCGGAACGGAGGGAAGCCACACAGCAGGATGTAAGTGATTACGCCAGCTGCCCAGATGTCCACCTTGAGGCCATATCTGAAAAAGTAAGTGATGTCAGAGTTAGCAAAGTCAGGCCAGGACAAATGATGGGGCGTGGTAAAACAGACGACTCTTCTAGCATAAACCAAAACCCCAACCAAAAAAATTAAAAAAAAAAAAACAACACAACAAACACTAAACTACAACCCACTGGCTAAACAGAATTCAAGAAAATAATAATTAATAATAATAATAATAATAATAATAATAATAATAATAATAATAAACCAAGGCACATAATTAAAAATCAAAGCAATGTACAGGCTTATATCCAAGTATCAGTAAGTGAACGGTTTCAGCACAAATGTTTATTATAGTCGTATCAATTTTAGGATAGAGATGAACCCTTGAGGCTATTTAACTCCCTAATTTTAGAAATAATACAATTGCATATAAGATATTTCCTGATGTACCAAGCACTGACATACATTATCTGATTTTCTTTTCCCAGCAACTCCGTAGCTTGTACAGGGTAAGTATTATTGCCTCTTTTACTGAGGAGAAAACCGAGGGGTAAATGATTTTGCTCAAGATCACACCATTAGTCGGTAGCAATGCTGAGTTCCAACCCAGGTCTGCAAGAGCCGCACCAAATCCTCTTTCCAGCCCACCCCACCCTCCCCAGCAGGCCCTCAGGGCACTCACAGTAGGAACACAGCGCTGCCTCAGGCAGCGCCCTCTGAGCAGGTCAGGCACAGCTCTAGATGTGGGCTTCCAACTCACTCAAAGCTGATGCATAAGAAAAAGTCCTCATTACCTGAGGTCTTCTCTTCTCATCTGTGTTGAATTTCTGCTTTCCTGGTCTATGGTACAAGCAGAAAAACTACCTCCAGCTGTCACAGTGGAAGGTACTACCTAGCTGGCGGTGTGGCTTGGTGCTCCTACTGGAAGCAGTGGTAGGGCTGTGTCTCCGTGCTGGCCCACCCTTCCCCAGTCCTTCTGTTGAAGGAGAGAGCTTCAGAACCCAGCTCATGATCCTTGGTAAGAAATCAGGCTCTTTAATGAAAGAGCCTTTTACTCACCTGGACCTGAGTTCAAATTCTGCCTCAGCAACTATCTAGTCATGAGCTTGTATGAGACATCACTCATCAGAGTCTGAGTTTATTTATATGCAAAATGGGCATCATACCATCTACTGGAAGAGCAAGAATGAAGTAAAGGAGCTCAGGGCTGGGCACACAGTAGTAGGTCCTTAACGAGCATTAAGCCACCCAACCATCTCCCACCACTCTAGAGATTTTCATTCAGCTATTTCTGCTGCGCTCAGAAACCAGCCAATCCCAGTGGCCCTCTGATGCCTAAGGGTGTCTGCACTCCACGGATCATCAATGAAGTGCCAAGAGGACCAAAATGGGACCAGAACTGGAGAATAAGGACAGCTGAGGGAAGCAGCCACAGGACACTGCACTCACTGTACAGTCTGTGTGCTTCTTTTATCTCCAAAAGCTAATTAATTGTCATCACTTTATGTTTCTCTGTTACTCCCAACATTTTTCACTCGGAGGTTAATAACTGCTGTTCTACCTTTAACAAAGGCCGAAAGGAAGCCTTAAACAAGATTACAGTCATTGGCAACTCGACTGGTAAAACAGAGAAAA